CTGCTGAATGGATAATCGCTTGGAACACGGTTATTTACCTGCACTGAAACTCTCACAACCCCCCACCCCCTCCCCCCATGGGGGCTAAGTTGTTCCCTTCACATCTCAACAGGACTCACTTCAGGCTAGATAATTCTCCTGCTGGTGAGGCTCCGTCTCATGGCTGCTCACCTAATGGCATTAGTCTGTCTGTCTTTGATTTATTCTTTTTGCACCCCAGCAGCAGCCTCTAACCCAGCGCTTCCCTACATGGAAAAGCAGCATCACAGCCCCAGCTTTACCACCCACAAAGGATGCTCCAGACAGAGGTGGTCGGCGCCGGTGTCCTCTGGAGGAGGTGTTGCAGTGTCTATCCCCCCCACGCTGGCTGCAGCTGGAGGTGGCCCAGATGATAGCTATGAATTACACCACCTCCTCAGCCTACTGCCAGCTAGCCTGGCACTATCCTGACCATGGAAGTGGGGTGGAGGAAACACTGACACCAGACCAAAGCGTACAAGATCTGATTACAAAGAGTCTCTAATTGTTTGTGTTCTGTATTGTGACAGTGCAGAAGGAAAAGGAGAGTCCTTGGCAGCCTTTTCAAAAGATTTTCTCCAGGGCTGGTTTAGAAGTGAGGATAGATTTTTTTTTTTTTTTTTCTTTTTTTCTTTTTGGTGTTTGGGCTGTTCTGAGCCTGTGTTGTACCACCATGGTTGCAGGATGCAAGTAGACATATCAGTGGGTAGGTATGTGGATGTATGTACATAAGGACCAGCTATTCTTATACCTCTTCCTCTTACTTCTTAGACCTGCTTTTGTGTCAACCTTCTCCACCCCATATCCCACCTACCCTCCCACACTGAGGTATGTGTGAACAAGGTCAGTTTTATACATCACTGTTCCTCTGCCCTGGCTAAAAACTGTCCCTCTGCACTGTCTGGTCAGTGTTGCAGCCATCTCGTGCCAGCACCTCCCCATCCCCCTCGGGACACCCACCTCCCTCCCCACTCTGCTCCTCTGCCACATGGTTGGCTTCCTCGCTGGCCCCCACCACAGCGTTGTCAGTGCTGTGGGCCGGCTGGTGGTTGTCGCTGCTGTGCTCCTCGGCTTCCTGCACATCGGACTCTGCTTCCTCGGTGTCGCTCCCACCACCCGTGGAGAGGTTCTTCTCTGGGGGAGGCTCCTTCTTCTTCCCTCGGTTCAGGCAACAGTAGGTGGCCATGGCCAGGAAGAGAGCAGAGAGCACCACCTCTGAGCCTGCCAGGTAGAAAATCACCTCGTAGTTCTTGAGAGCGTCAACCAAACGTCCTGATGGTTGGAGAAGAAATGAGAGAGTTAGCCTCAGGCTACACACTCCTGCATGCGCAGCCCAGCACAGGCAGGCGGCACCCGCATTTGGCTGAGGACCCATTTCTCAAGGGAAGAGCAGGAAGCCTGAATATCTAAAAAATCACTCTGGACAAAAGCCGCACTGTGCCACCAAGGAAAGTACTGTAAGAGTGTGTGTTTGGTGTTTTCCCTTGTTTGGACAAGGTTAAATAACTGTGACATGCTGATGTTATGGTCTTGCGTTGTGGTGGGCCATCTTCTTGCCAAGGTGAAACTAGCCTCTGAGGACTTGTCTTGTCTTGTCTCATCTCGTCTCAGAAAAGAAACAAAATTTGAGAAGCCATTGCTATTTCTTAAGCTACCATGTCAGGAAAACATTCAGAGGGGGACAAGAAACATTTCTTTGGCAGAGAAATCCCTTAGGCTGGCCTGCACCTCGTGATTTCTCTGACAAAGAGATGTTCTCAATGCATCTTCTGAATGCACCAGGGCTGGCAATGGAGGGAGGGTTCCCAGTCCTTGGTGCTGGGGAGCCTGAGCAACCACCCAGCTGTCTGGATGAGCTAGGACTGGGCTGTGGTGGCGGGAGGCTTCATCCCTGTCCCACGTGCTCCTGACGGCACATGCGACACCTGGTCCCTGCTGCGCTATGGTGCATGGCCTGAGACCAGACTCTGGGCCCACCGAGGTGCCTCCTGGAGCAGTCATGGGAAGCACATGGCGAATTCCTCAGCAGGTGAATGTGCCCCCGTTCACCCAAGCCAGATGACGAGCAAGGACCCTGCGTGCACGTGCGTGTGTGTGTGTAGCTTATCCTGTGCCAAACCCCCTCAGCCCCACAGAGCGGGAAGCAGCTCAGGAGGATTACACCAAACAAAGCCACTTTGTTCAACCTCCTTCTTCCAGCTGAGCACTGCTCTCCTGACTCTGAGCCATCAGGTTTGCCAGCACAATCAAGTTTCCCATACCAGGGGGGGTCCTGCAGCAGTGGGTGTCCCTGGGGGGGGAGGTGAGAACCACGACTTGGCTTCTCGCAGCACCATTCTTTGGTGACCCTGCACAGCTGAACTGGGGCAGGAGGGCTAAGGGATGTCCCACATCACCACCCACTGTCAAATCCCCCTTTCTCGCCATGATCTCTCTGCAGCTGCCTCTGAGACACATATTTCTTGACCCTCCCTGGCCTGGGAATTCTGACTGTCCCACAGGTTGTAAGATGGGACATGAATTATTGTTAGCATCAAGAGGGTCTTCTCTTGGCCACTAATTTTTACCTGAGAGCTGAGTGGAGTTGCTGAAGGTGCGTTTTGCTCATAACTGGTGGATTGTGCTGGGGGAAAGATGATTCACACAGAGATATTCACTGACAGACTTTAGCCCACGTGTTGCAGCTGACGGGAGTATGGGAAGCAAAAGAGTGGTCCCTGCCCAGGGATTTGCCCATGGTCTGACCCTGACTCTTCCTCACAAATCACACATGCAGGGAACTGCACTTCATTTGGAAATAAGCTTTTGGCATGATTTGGCTTTCTCAGACCTGGTCAGACAGTAACCTACACCAACCTCTTAGGTGAAGGTCTTTCCCAATTAACAGCTGTTTAGTAACTGTTATGAACCTTACCAGGGACTGTGGCCTAGACTAGACTGGTTGAGAAGCTGTGAGTGTCTTAATCCTCTTAAGAAAAAGTAACAGCAAATGCCTCAGGTGGTTCTAGAAACTGTTTTGACTTGATTGACACCAAAATGCCTGCGCCTTGGGGCCAACGCAAATTGAGATCATTAATCACAGCACCAATCAAAAGGCCATGGACACCAAGGAGAACTTGAAAGACCCTTGCCTTGTCCTACTGTCAAAGGTTTGCCTGCAGCATGTGCCTGACCCTACCTGTAACATGATTTTATGCAACATTTGCAGTGAAGGCAGAGACTTGGATCCCGGCATGAGAGGGGAAGTGCCACTGATCAGGATTGAGGGACACTGGAAGTCGTGCCACTCTGGATAGCTCTGTATGGCTGCCATCACTCATCTCTCTCAGCAAAACAGAGAGAAAAATATCACTTGTCATCTTCTGCCCCTGCCCAGATTCAGTGTTGTGGTGCATGGAGTGAGACTGGGAGCTCTCACTTCAGATCTCAGCTCCCCGGAAAAAATTGAAGCTGAGAAATAGGGTCTTTCTTCAAGTACCATGCCCATGCCCAACACCTGCAATACCGTGAAATGGCAGACAAACGAATCACCTGTGTTTTGCAGCAAGAGACCTACCTGCAGAGGGTGGACCAATAAGCACAGCAAAAGCTTCGATAAGCAGGACCAGCCCAATGGCGCTGGAGAACTTCTGTGAGCCAACGATGGCCATCAGCACCTCAAACTGCAGTGCCCCCACCATGCCGTAAGAGATGCCAAAAAAGACGCAGAAGATGACCAGCCCCGTGTAATTGCTAGCCCTGGCGCTGCAGATGTCTGTCAAGCCATTGAAGAGCATAGCGAAGCTGAACAGGTATGACACATGAGGGCGGACCCACTTCAACCCTGCCACCATGCCGCAGGCTGGGCGGGCAAAGATATCAATGAAACCAATGATGGAGAGCAAGAATGCAGCCTCTGTGTCTGGTACACCTGTGTCCTTGGCATAGTTGACCAGCAAGATGGGGGGCACAAAGAGACCCAAGACCAGGATGAACTTTGAAATAGTGTAAATGATAAACCCTCGGTTGGAAAAGATACTAAAATCCAGAAGCTTCTTTCCTTTCTTGGGCTGCTTCTTGGCTTTCTTGGCTTTCTTGGTTCCATCAGTGGTGCTGATTCCCTCCTCTGATTTCCCTCCTATGGGCAGCATCTCCTTGGCTTCATATTTATCCTGAGCTTTCTCCATCTTCCGCTTCATGCCCATATCCAGAGGTCTCATGACTGCCCCACAAGTGCAACAGTTAAGCAGAAGGCCCCCCATGATAAGGAACCCTCCTCGCCAACCAAACTTCTCCAGCAGCACTTGCCCCAGTGGAGAGAGGGAGGAAAGGAAGACAGGGCTCCCAGCAGCAGCCAGTCCATTGGCAAGAGGCCGACGTTTGTCAAAGTAGGTGCCCAGCATGATCAGTGAGGGCTGGAAGTTCAGTGCCATACCCAGACCTAGATGAGGGTGAGACCCAGGAGGACAGGGAGTGCAAAAACATGAGACATGGTTTGCAACAAGCTGAAAACTCCCCTCAGACTATCCTAGCCCTGAAGTCCCATGGTGGGATTCATGTGTTCCTCACAAGCCTCTGCTCCTTCATGTTGGTAGGTTGCCCCCAGAGATGATGGGCTGAAACAGCCTGTCTACCTGAAGTATATTTGGATCAGGTAACTGTGGCCATGTTTAGACAGGACCTGTGCCTCAAACAGGAACTTTGCCTCTCTCCCCTACTGCTATATACTGATGCCACCCCAGTTGCCATGATCACTAAGCATCACTTATGTTTCTTCTGTCCCTCCCCTCTCCACCACAGGCTCTGCTTGTTTAGATCCAGCAGATGCATCTTCCACAGATGCAACATTCAAGACTAGATGCTTTCTGTGAGCAGGTGTGAATAGGTGAGGGGAGACCTGATGCTAGACATGGCAATGCTAAAGGGAGATGCAACATGGTCTTGGCTCTTCCCCAGGTAAGTCTGTGTCCTGCCCCCCCCGCCCCCCGCCAACTCCTGGGGCTCTCACCTGTCAGCACGCCAGCTGTCAGATAAAGCTCAATGATATTGGTGGTAAAAGATGCCAGGATCATCCCAGAAGAAGCTAGCAGCCCACCGATGAGCATCACGGGCCGGCAGCCAAACTGGTTCACCATGATGCTGCATACTGGTCCTGGGAGGAAGCAGAGGAGACAGAGTAGGAGACCAGGAGGAGACAGGCCAACTGGGAAGGGGCAGCCAGCCCAAGCAGAGCACTCAGGGAAGATGAAACACTAATGATGGAGATCACTGTTTGACTGCTTAGATACACATCTTTTGGGCCCAGGCAAAGGAGAGAGACTGCGGTGTGGAGACCTCTGCTTTGCCCTGCCTTCAGCCCCCTGTTCCCTGGGAACAAGAGGGGCTTGATGTGATAGGGGCAGCACTTCAGCAATGGGAGCAAACCCTGTGTCAACTGTCTGAGAGGCAGGTGGGGTGACCCCTGAGGTCTCCTGGGGCAGAGGAAACAGGGACATGAAATGCAGCACACTTCTAGAAGAGAAGTGGTGGGGCAATTGTATTCTGCATGTTGGTTCATGACTGGGACAGTGAGCGTGAGGAGATCCCATGGGAACGTGGTCTGGGCCCGTAGCAGGGCAGGAGAAGGTACAAGTTGGGGAGGAGGAAGCATATCCAAGCATCACCTGTCCCATAGAGCATGGCCAGCATGATGGAGGAGATCCAGGCTGTGTCACTGTAGCCCACGTGGAAATCTTTCATGAGCTCCTTGAAGTAGACACTGACGGCTTTCGGGAAGGCATAGGAGAAGCCAGTGATCACAAAGCAGCCGAAGAGTACGATCCAGCCCCAGCCACCATCTGGGGGCTTCACAGGAGCTGGGAGCTGCCCTTCCTCTGGGTCAGCTCTCCCCATTGTCTAGCCTGGGAGGGGAAAGGCAGACCAGGAGGAGGTAGGGCAACAGAGAGAGAGAAAAATCTCAAGGCACTGAAAGAAGAAAAGAGCACAGCAGGCAAACATTTATTACAAGGTTTCTTTCCATGCCCACCATCTCCAACCTCCAAGAGTCTCATGGAGAATCACATCATCTCTCTGTACCTTCATCCTGCCAGGCAAGGCAGGATTGCTTCATGGTGCGAGGTCAAGCCACAGCTAAGCAGAGGTGGGAAGGTCCATCCCCCTGAGCTTAGGACTTCCCACAGCTCCGTAACCCCTGGTCAGATGCAGCCAAGCATAGTCACAGCTCCCAGCTGAGACTGGAGAGATGCACCCGATGTGCTGGGGCATCAGGCTCTGCAGCACCCCACTTGCTCCATATCCAGCCTTGTCTGCAGGCTGGTGTGAAGTAAGAGCCAGCAACATGAGCCCTGCTCAGCTCCCAAGATCTTCCTTTGAACCTCTCCCCTCCCAGTCTGCTCCAGCTGGGAGCCCTCCAGGACCTGCCCTGCTCTAGAAGCCTCCAGCAGTGAGGCACAGGAGAGCCATTAAGCCCACTGTACTTTCCTCCAGGAGGTCTCTGTGCACAGCCCTCTCCCTTGCCCTCCCTTCCACACCACGAGGGGCCAGATTTGGAAAATGGGTGAAGGGGGAGAGCACGGCAAACTGGTGGTGGCGGTTATTTGCATGCCAGAGAGATTAGGGCTCCGTACCTACACGGAGGGGCCGGAACAAAGCCTAAGGGGGGAGAAGGAGGGAATTAGAGCGGCTGTCTTGTGAGTTGCTCTCGGGGCTGTTAAGCTGCCCAGGAATTTTGCTCCAGTTGGCTGCAGTGGGTATGTTTTTTCTCATTTCTCCCCTAGGCACCAGGTCTCTGCCATACCCTTTCCAGCACCATTGGCCTCGGTTTCTTGGTCAGCCAGGCTTATTTTCACACCTGTATGCAAAACCAAAACTGGTCTTTGGTTATAGCCGCTTCCAAGTAACATCAGGCAGGTGTTAGAAAGCAGGAGGGGCTTTCTCCATGCCTGAGCTGGGCTTTGCCGGGTCTGGTTCGCCCTATCACCATCCTGCTGGCAGTACACCCCCAACATGGGTCCTCTGTCCTCCCAGCTGTCTTGGGTGAAGAACTATGAGACAGCGGCAATGTCCCCATCCCTTGGCACTGGCAGTCATGGGAAATGCCAGCAGTTACATGCTGACTGGAGACTGCTGAGGGGACAAGGACACTCCTATGGACAGGACACACAAGGAGAGCACCTGGGAGCTTTGGAGCTGGCTGTTTCTCAAGAAAGTCTCTCTCTCCTCCATGCCTTCCAAGCAATGGGGACAACTTGACCTGAGTCCCATAGCACTGCTGTTGCTCTGCAGGTTAAACAAGTGCAAATCCTTCAGGCAAAAGCATGAATGGCACAAGTTGGGGCAGAGCCCAGGTAAAGGGCCCTTGCTTGGCAAAAGGTGGTCCTATCCCATGACACCCCTGAATCTTACAGAAAAGGAGAGCGACTGATTTTTCTCAGGCTGCGGGAGGTTCCGGATGCAGAGCCAAGGCTGGAAACAGGGCTGGGAATTGCTCTGAAGGGGCTCTGAAACTGTAATTTAGGGGATGTTGGAGGACGAACTTTAAGACAAGACAACTAGGCCAGTTCTGGACCCCTCCGCAAGGGACGTGGCACCTGCACCGACAGTGCAGCAACATGAGGAGGCACAAAATGTCTTGGCCCGGTTGGTTTCAGTCAGGTGCCTGAGCCAAGGCTGAACTGTGGTGGGAAGGGTGGGATCAGAGCCACCAGCCACCTGCAGCGGACTCCCTCCTTCTCCTCCCCAGGGGACCCTTGCTCCTAAAAACACTTGAGGGTTTGTTCATGGCAGCACCCAGGTGTCTGCCACTGCCACGGGTCCCTGCAGCAGAGATGCCCAAACTTTCAGGACCCTGTCAGCCATGAAAAAAGGGAGCAAGACCTGGCTCTGAGCATGAATTGGGGCAGCTCGTCTTCTGGATGGCCATATCCTAACAGCTCCTGGACTGAACCACGGGTGCTGGCGTAGGCTACTCCAGTCTCTCCCCCCCAGCCCAGGTCTCAGGGACTGTGGCAAGGGGCAGAGGCATGAACTGAGAACAGGGTGCTATAAAGACATTGTCAAGGCAAAGAATCATTGCGAGGAAGAAAGATTCATTATATACTCTCCAGACACCCATACCTCCCCTCCCTCACACCGTTTCTGGTGTTATCTGGATCACTGGCACCTGGACGGCCAGACTGACCGGGCTGGCTCAGCTCCTGCCATGACTTGCCTGCTGCTCCTCTCCCAGCTTCACCTGACTGACAAGCTAGGTACGGCTGTACAAAAGGTGACCTGCTGCAAAAACACAACAATTTCTCGATCTGTGCTGGTGCTCCACCACTGCATCATGTGCTGCACATAGCTACCTCAAATAAGAGCTTTTTATCCAAGCCCCTCTCCTAGCCTCATTTCTTTTTGTTCTTATCTTGCAGCACAAATCAAAAGAATCAATCAAACCATTGCAATTCATCCTTTTTTTTCCCTCCAACTTCCTAGCAAGAAAACATTTGTCCGTCTGTGGCATGCTTGTCAGAGATTTCTGTAGCATCGCCTATCAATGATGAATCAACCGTGTCTGATTTTGAACAGCACATTAGACAAATATCCATCGGTACTGTTGGAGTCTGGGGCTGGATGGGTACCTCTGCAGGAGCCACTTGCTCAGTGCTACACAACTGTACAGCAAGGCTTGAAGGGACTTTTTCCTGCCTGCAGCTAGACGTTGGCTGAAAAAGATGAAGTGCATCAGAGGACCTCACCTGTGGAGATGCCTCCAAGGCTGATATGCTATAGCACAGCTCTGCTGGAGATTTATCCCAGCTCTGAGCCAGGCAGTTCAGAGCTGCCTTGTTCCCAACACCACGGCACGTACGCTGGCTTTCCCACTCATGGCTGCACACAGTGGACACACCGTGTACCCTGCGCCTGCCTTTGCACACTCTACAGCTTGCTATTATTTTCTCCTCAGTTAAGAAGCTTTATTCACAGGTAAAAATACCACGTGTAAGTTCACATGCACCTAAAAGCTCATCAGCACGGGCACCTGTCCTTCCCCGTGCATCACACAGAGGTGAGTCAGGAGCAGGCACTGCCGCAGTGGCAGCTGCAGGTGGGTGCCAGGAGAAGACTTGCGCTGACACCAGAAGTCACAAGCCCAGGCTGGGAGGGCGAAGGCCACAGCAGGATCAGCCATGGCTGTCAGTCCCTGGGCACACACAGAGCACAGAGCAGCCGGTGCTGGATGACGCCCAGCAAAGCCCTGCTGTGCCAGGCGAGATGCATCCAGGAAGGTCCACAAAAATGCTAGGATGGCTCCTAGTGCCTCCACAGAGCATGGATGGGATGTGTGTGGGGGGTGTCTGTTTATTAATGGCAAGGGCCATGATTCATGCCACCAGCCTCCCCAGACCACAGACAACACCCTGGGAAAGCATTCATTAGAGAATTAAATAAGTGCAGGCCTGGGACGAGCTGTCCTGTTGGCAGCTGGTGCCAGGATGCAAGCATCCCTCCTCCGCGCCACTGACCTGTGCAACGAAGTGACAACCTCTTGAGCACGGACTGAGCCTCCAAAGGGCTGAGCAGACCTGTCCGTAGCGCTCCCTTCTCCCTCTGGCTGGCACTTCCCAGCTCTGGATTAGATGGTCTAATAACCTGGTTAGATGGTCCCTCTGGCTCTTTGCTCCATGGCGGATATGCTGTCAGCCGGGTGATGCCTGCAGGAATCCAGCGTCTGTTGAGCGGTCTCTTGTGTCTCGCTCCTTCCTTTGGGGCAACTATGTCCTCTCTAGAGAGCTAATTCCCCTCTCAGCCTGATTTCCTCCAGCTCCAATGCTGCCCAGCAAAGCCACCCGTGACCAGTCTGGGGGGATGCCCCACACGGGGGACCCCCTTGCCTCCTAGGGGTGCAGGTAGTGCCCCACGGTGCTCCCAGCGTGGATGTGGGTCAGCAGCTGCTTATGGCTTCAGGTCAGCAGAGACCGGCAGGTGCTGAGCGGGCAGAAAGCACTTCTCCACTTTTAAGAGGCTTTTCCAGCCAATGGGGAGGAGGTGGCTGCCTGCCACGGCCCGAATCCCCCAGTAATCCCGCTGCGCAGGGGCTCCTCGCCTTTCCCCCAGCAGAGCGGGGCAGGCTGGCAGGGGACAGATTCGGAGGGGCCGAGGCAGGAGGAAGTGGGGTGAGGGTGTGGGGTGCTGGTGATGGACCCAGCCAGGACGGAGGGTGCTGGGGAGGGGGGACAGTGGAGCATGAGGGCAAGGGCTCATGCTTCAGTAAGGGGCACTATGGAGGAAGGGCCTGCTTTTGATGCCCCACCGCTGCTTCCTTAGCCACTGGCCAGAAGGATGGAGAAGCGCTGGCATGGCTTTGCAGGACACGTGTCCAAGCAGAGAGGGAAGACAAGGTGGACCAGCCAAGGAATTGCTGCCATCTGTAGCTCAAAGGGCCAGATCCAGC